CACACGTACACACACTACACAAACATACACACAATACACAGACGTACACACACGTACACACACTACACACACATAAACACACGTACACAAACGTACACACACTACACACACATAAACACACGTACACACAAGTACATACACGTTTCCACTCCTTTGAGAAACGGAAGTGAAGGTGGAGTGAGACTTAAAAACACATGTGACTGGTGGAGTTTAACGTGTGTGTTCATGCATGTATACAGAAAGACAGGTCAACACACACGTGTCGAGTGTGTGTGTGTGTGTGTGTGTGTGAGAGCCGGTCGGCTCATTTTAATTAGCTCACATTTGACAGTTGCTCAACTCTTCTTAAATGCTCCCATTGATTTCTCCCACATGCATAAAGGCTGCTATCTGACCGCAGACGACACGTGAGCTGAATTTGCTTTTTAGTCCGACTTCTTGTTGCTTCCTTTAAATATTCCAAAGCTCCCGTGTGCCATTTCTGAGCGTTTACTTTGAATGAATGTGTTGCGTTCAGGGACCCATCTTTTGAATTGTGGGACACAATTTAATTTCTGTTAGACTTGTTTGAAAAGGGTTGTGCAGGCCTGGAACTAAGCCATTTTTAGTGCAAGGCCACTTTGGCCTTTAAAAAATACAAATGTGTTGGTGCATCGTGGCACCAAGGCCAAACCTACCAAACACTAAATCTGATCTCAGTCTTAATACAGCAGTAAAATAAGTATAAGTATATAATATAACCGTTATTTGGAACTGATTTACAGTTGCAGTAAAAATAAAAATCTTAGTGTGAAAACTAAAGTGGTGTAGTGTAACTAAGTACATTTACTTAAGTACTGTACATAAGAACAGTTGTGAGGTACTTGTACTTTACTTGAGTATTTCCATTTTGTGCTGCTTTATACAGCTGTATGTGAAAAGCTTGGGCACCACCTTTTTTTATTAAACAGGTGTAAACACAGCTTCTCTGGGGTTTCAACATAAAACCATTCCAATTAATAATAATATAATAATAATTCCAGATAAACAGTAAACTGTGTTTGTGAACAGATTTGAGGAGAGAAATAGTCAACAACAGAATCTGGATCCATATCTGATCAACACTGCCTAGTTGATGGGTGCCAATGAATGGATGTATAAATACACAGTATACAGGTACATTATACATCTGTCCATGAGCCTACATGTTCACTGCAGCCCACTTGCCCCACACCCTATTCAGGGACGACCACCATGAATAATCCTGTGGGAAACACTGTGCAGTACGACTCTTGGTTAGTTTCTCTCTTCTCTGTAGAAAACTGCAGCGCAGACACAGTCCTTGTTCAGAAAATGCTTGATAATCAAAGTCAAGAGCTGTTTTGATTTCCGGCTTTATTTGCTGCCTAAAGGTGTTCTCATAGCGCCCGATATGTATCTCTTGATGTCTAAACCATGAACTGTGCTCACAACATCAATAGTGAGCTGGGAGGACATTTTACCACTCGTACATGCTACAACAAAATCAGGTATCTTTAAAGTCTTGCAAGATGTTAATTTGTGCATTAACTGGAATGATCTCTTTGCACCTATGAAACAGTGTGTAACCACTGAAGACTCAGGTCTCCATATCGGAGGTTACAGTTGAGCCCTCTTTATATTTCCCGCTGCTTCACAGGCTGCATCTGATGCTGTTTGCTGAAACGTGAGCTTGTCGGCGCTGTACTCTGGTAGTCCAGCAGCAGTAATGATTTCTTTAGTGCTGAGTGGAAGCGCTCTATATTACAGCTGAGGCCATGGGAAATTGCTTTGTACCTTGCAGGATCCCTGACTCAGCTGTTACCTGAAACAATAGTGGCTGGATGTACTGTACCGTAAGCTGAGACGATGCATATACATCTTCGTACATTTGCAACATACTGTATACTTTCAGTAGAAGTTTAGGTTCAGTAAATCCACAGCTCTTTGCAGTAGTAGATGCATAGATCAGCAAATGACTCAGATTGCTACTGACATGGAGAACAATTTAGTTTTTAATGGTTTTATTCAGATGGAAATCATGCTTCTGTCTGTATAGTTGGGCTGCACAATTATGGCCAAAATGAAAATCACAGTAATTCTGATCAATATTGAGATCACGATTATTTCCTGATTACAGGTCCCAGAATACTAAAGGCTGCAAAACAAAGTTTAGTCAGGCAGTAGTTGGCCCTTTTCCATCTTTCTGTGAGCCACTGTGATCTGATTTTATGCTGCAAGGACTCGAGTCTGTGAACAGCGACAGTGTTCCCTGGCTGAGAGGCTGGAGGTGTGCAGCTCTTCCTCTAACAGCTCACTGTGGCTGCTCCTTCTTGTTCCATTACTCCCTGACATATTTCAAACTGATCCGCCGCTAAAAATGACTGTTGACTGTCCACACGATCGAACACACAATAAACTCAGTAAAGCTCGCAAGAGTTTTGTGGTCACACAAAAAAACAAAAACAAGAAGAGCTGTTTTCGCTCAGCCTTAGTGTCCTGTTTAGAGAACTTTGTATACAATTCTTCCACAAGTCTGTATTATTTACTTTTAACAATCGTACAGATTTAATAGGCTTTAGTGTTTTCTTGTCCCTGATGTTTAACCATTGTTCTATTAATCAATTTACTTACCATTTACTTTTCTTCATAAAAGTGAACTAAATGCTGAGATATAGGTCTGCTGTGTGTATTTTTAAAGCTTTGTTACACCACTTATAATAAAAATAATCTAAAAATGTTTTAGATTGCGGGCAGGGTCAAGCTAAGTGACAAGCCCTTCCTGTGACTTACTTCAAAACAAAAGTAAACTTGTGTTCAGCCAGTTAAAAGCCTTTAATATGAAGCTGCACCAGTAGGAAATGTTTGGTTGTCGTTAGCAGTAACTTAATACAGTATTTTTTCCAGGAGTATAAATGTCCAGGCTGCAGCTGCAGGGTGTGTGTGTGCAACGACAGGACGGCTCCCCAAATGTGAAACCAGAACATCTGGTTCACCTGGTGGCTGGCTGTTAGTTTAGGAAGCACTTTATTTGAGAATCAAGTAATTATTCCTCAATATGTGCATTGAAATGTGGGGGTGGCATACTCTAGACAATGTGCTGAAAGATTACTGTACAATAATAATAGTAGAATCGAGTCCACTCGCAGCTTAGACTGAATGTTTTCCTCCACATCTCTGACAGTAAGTCCTGATCTGAAAGCAGCAGCATGGATGGATCCATCAACCCATGTTTTCCTGGTTCAGATATGACTCTCTCGCTGTGGGGAGGATATGCTTGGCCAATGTGAGAGCTGAACTGCAACATAACATGTTGAATAAATATCTATTGGATTGAATTAGCAA